CTTGAAAAGAGAAGACTTCCGGGGGACCTAACAGCTGCCTTCCAATACCTGAAGGGAACCTACAGGAAGGCTGGGGAGGGACTTTTTACAAGAGTGTTCACTGATAGGACAAGGGGAAATGGGTTTAAGTTGAAGGAGAACAGATTTAGATTAGATTTTAGGAAGAAATTCCTCAGTACAAGGGTGGTGAGACTTTGGAATAGATTGCCCAGAGAAGTTGTGGATGCCTCCTCCCTAGAGGGGTTCAAGGCCAGGTTGGACAGAGCTTTGAGTAGCCTGGTCTAGTTGAGAGGCGTCCCTGCCCATGACAGGGAGGCTGGATTAGATGATCTCTAAGGTCCCTTCCAGCCTATGCCATTCTATGATTCTATCTCACCATTAAGTTCTCATTCTTTTGGAAAAATGCATCCACTTCTCCTCTGTACCAACAGAGCCAGTGAAGTCGATCTCTGCTTGTTGCATTGTATCATACTGATATGTGCTTTCTGAATTTTTCAGACTCTACAGATGCATTTCATTCAGAATGACTATTTTGCCCTTTTCCAGGTCACTTCCATCTACATTATAATTATTTTTTTTTTCCTTTCCTAAATCTCTGATCTGAAGGAAATTTGTTATTGATGTTCTGCCCTTTGAAATGCTGTTGTGTCTTTAGATCAGACTTTTAAGTTACAGCTTACTGGTGCTTACTTCTGCAGGCACCGGTAAGATGCAATATTAAGCATGTGGATCAGTTCTAAGTTTTTCTCCACCATTTAGGAAGTCTTCATTGGTACCCCAACATCAAGCAAAGCTGTTGGGTTTTCTTTACCGCTTCTCACTGAGGCTCAACAATTCCTGCTACTCGTGGTACATCTGGATTAAGAGGCCACCTGGCTGATACTTCAAACTGCTTTACATTTCCTCTAGTCAGGTCTAACACTCTCTCTTTCTAAGGTGTGACACAACCATTTTGGCTGTTCCACTCTGCTTTGCCAGTTGCTGTGATTCAGCTTTAGGCTGCGCTCCTTCTTTAGCCTCCTGGTCATTCTGCCCTTGGTGCAGCCACATGGCCACCAGTAACTCTCTCAACAGGCTGTCTGGTAGCTCAAGCACTTTCCTTCCAGATTGTTGTGTGTAGTTGAAGTAACAAGGGCAGTGCCCTTTGAGTGTCATTTTGCAAGCAGAGGGATGAATATAGTTGAGCAGTTGCTTTTCTGACCCAATTTAACTGTACATTGCAGTCGAGGACGTCAAAAATACTTTTTGCTGGAAGCACCTAAGTGATTTAATGTCAAGTGAACAGGCTGATGTGTCCCCAAGGTATTACCGGGGTCAGATTTTAAAAACTCTCAGTGTATCTAGAATGCACCAGATATTTCTTTTCCACTGCCACAACTACAGAGCTATCTCTAGTCCAGTGGTTCTTCTGAGTTAGCAACACCACCGATCGTGTTGACACCTGAGGCTCTACTGTTGATGAAAGTGGCTTATCAAAATGTGCAATATGCCTAGTTGTTGACAGCCTCATTTGACAAAGCTCTTTACAGCTTTCGCTTTCTGTGCCTTCTCATGTGCACAGGGATTGTTCCTTGTTTTTTTTTTTATCCTTGTGCAGAATCCCCTTCCAAAATAACTTTTAACTCTGGTAGATTTCGGATGATTTTTTTTTGACGACTTTCCTTTAGTAGCGCGTGTATCTACTTGCAGGATGGATGCTTTATGCATCTTGGCTGTATCTCTGACACAAGGAATGGTGCAGAGTAAAATTTTCCTAGGTCATTGTGCTGGTTTTGTCTGACATAGAGTTAATTTTCTTCACAGTAGCTAGTATGAGGCCAAGTTTTGGATTTGTGCTAAGAATTATGTTGATAACACACTGACGTTTTAGTAGTTGCCAAGCCATGCTTACATTAAGACAATGATTTTTTTCAGCTTCTCATACAGCCCCTGCCCTCCCAGCTGCTTCTCCATGAGAAGAAGGGAGGGGACACAGCCAGGACAGGTGATCACAAGTGACCAAAGGGATATTTCTCTTTATCTCCACCCACGAGTTGTCTTACTTTCACCCTTTCAATTCTCTCCCCTGTCCCACTTGAGAGGGAGTAAGCAAGTGGCTGCATGGGGCTTAGTTGACAGCTGGGGTTAAACCACAACAGCCATGCCTCAGGGATGCAACTAAATTGTGCTCTGGTTATACTTCTGATTTTTATGGGTGTTTCTCCAGGCTTTTAAGGTACTTACATATGCTTGATCACTACCATTTTCCTTTCTCTTTTTTTGCGAGAAAAAAGTTACTGAAGCCAAAATGCTGTTTTTAGAGGTTCCCCCCCACCTCTGGGCTTGCTTCTTACATTGTTTATTTTCATAGAATCGTAGAATCATCTGGCTGGAAGAGACCTTCAAGATCATCGGGTCCAACCATTCACCCTGCACCGTCAGGGTCCCTAAACCATATTGCTCAACACCAAATCTACACGTCTCTAAAACACCTCCAGGGATGGGGACTCCACCACCTCCCTGGGCAGCCTGTTCCAATACTTCACAACCCTCTCTGTAAAGAAATTTTTCCTGATATCTAACCTAAATTTCCCCTGGCGCAACTTGAGGCCATTCCCTCTCATCCTGTCATTCATAACGTGGGAGAAGAGACCGACCCCCATCTCCCTACAACTTCCTTTCAGGTAATTGTAGAGAGCGATAAGGTCCCCCCTGAGCCTCCTCTTCTCCAGACTAAACAGTCCCAGCTCCCTCAGCCGCTCCTCATAGGACAAGTTCTCTAAACCCTTCACTAGTTTTGTTGCCCTTCTCTGAACCCACTCCAGCACCTCAACATCCTTCTTGAAGTGAGGGGCCCAAAACTGGACACAGTACTCCAGGTGTGGTCTCACCAGTGCTGAGTACAGGGGGACGATCACTTCTCTGCTCCTGCTGGCCACACTGTTTCTGATACATGCCAGGATTCTGTTGGCTTTCTTCGCTGTGGATCATATATATCTAGAATATCTAGATATAAAATAGATATAAGTATACCTAGAATATCCAGATATAGGATAATTTGCTTCACGGTATTTCATGATTGTATCTCCTAAGCTTTTATTTTCCCATGCCTCTGGGAAGCCAAACCTACTGAGTTTCTACCATACCTGTGCTACAAGTCCGTCCTATGTTTACTGATACGGTTTTGTTGTGCCCCTGTTTGAATGCTGGTTTGTGATACATGCTCTGTGTTAGGTACCAGCACGCATCCTCATTTTGCTTTTTGGATTTTCTTCTTGCCTTTTCCACTGTTAGATTCCTCAAGGCTTTAAAAAAAAAAAAAAGTATTTAAATTCTGCTTTCTGGCACATCTTGTCTTATCTATTAAACAGAGCCCTTGACTATATAGTGCTAGAGGGTTCCTACTCACCATTAGGTACTTGATACCTTTCCAGTATCTTTTTTCTTTCTAGGAGTAGGGGATTTCATTGTGGAAAAAAGTAAGCTTCAAGTGCTCCAGCACACTGTCTGTCTATGCTTTTCCTGACTATGTCCTTTTCACCTAAAAATATTGTAAAGCAAAGGAATGAAAAACTGAAAACATCTTTCTACACTACAAGCCAATTTATATGAATTAGGTTTGAGAAAGATTAGCTCCATTAACTATTTCTTCTTAGCCCAACCTTCTGCCATGTTTTCAAATTTGCAGGTAGCATACTTTTACACTGTTCTCATGGAAAAACAGTATTTTCTTTCCAAGTGTGACATCATGTTTTGCCGTGCTGCAAATATGGCTGGAGATACATACAAACCAGCGCAAAGCAAACAGGCTTTTATCAGCAGAGTATCCAAACATGCTCTGCGGTCAGTGGTTCAACCAGCAAACAGAATGAGAGGTGACAGGGGACAGTTTGCACTAATTATTCCACAGTTATTTCCAGGGAGATATGATATGGGAGATAGGTCAGTCCCTTACAGCACACTCTGCTAGCAAGAGCTGGGCACCGCAGCAATGGCAGCGGAAGGGCTGCCTCCCAGGGCTAGTGTGCAGCCAGGCAGGCAGGCGAACAAGCAGGGCACTCGGCACAGTGGTGCTCCAGTCACCCATCCGAGCATTTTGCTTTTCCCAGGAGATCACCCAAGGCATGGGGCTGTCAGGAGGGCTGGGTGGGCACCCTCAGATGCGCTGTGGAGGGGCGTATTGCATTGCTGCAGATATTGCAGCAGGTTTGAAGGACAGCGCAGGACTGAGCATGGTGAAAGGTTACCACGTTCCTTCAGAAGGAACGGGCAAATTCATCAGTATTGTGTGGCCAGCAGGTTGACGGAGGTGACTCTGCCCCTCTGCTCTGCTCTCGTGAGACCTCACCTGAAGTACTGCGTTCAGCTCTGGGGACTCCAGCATAAGAAGGACACAGAGCTGTTGGACCAGGTCCAGAGGAGGACCACGAAGATGATTCGAGGGCTGGAGCACCCCTCCTATGAAGACAGGCTGAGAGAGTTGGGCTTGTTAAGCCTGGAGAAGAGAAGGCTCTGGGGAGACCTTCTAGCAGCCTTCCAGTACTTAAAGGGGGCCTATAAGGAAGCCGAAGAGCGACTTTTCGCAAGTACATGTGGTGATAGGACAAGAGGCAATGGCTTTAAACTGAAAGAGGGGAGATTTAGACTAGATAGAAGGAAAAAATTTTTTACAACGAGGGTGGTGAAACACTGGAACATGTTGCCCAGAGAAGCTGTGGATGCCCCATCCCTGGAAGTGTCCAAGGCCAGGTTGGATGAGGTGTTGAGCAACCTGGTGTAGTGGAAGGTGTCCCTGTCCATGGCAGGGGGGTTGTAATTAGATGATCTTTGAGGTCCCTTCCAACCCTAACCATTCCATGATTCTATGATGAAATTTCCCCTGGTCTCAGGAAAATCAGTATCTGTGTGAAGAAGGGAGACCCAAACTTGTGTCCCTTCCGAGGGCAGGCAAGGGAGATGAGGAATTGTACACCATTTCACAGGAACCAGCCTGGCTGTCAGGAGGATCAATACCTGCCCACAAGCACCGAACAGCACTCACTGCAATAAAGTAAACTGGTCTCTCAGGTGTCTCCAGTGCAAAGTCCTGCTTTACAAGGGGAGGATGGAGGTGCACACGTCCAAGAGCTTTAGGAAAAGAAATGAGGCGATGCACTGAAAGGGAAACACACAGTATAAGGGAGAGGCAAACCCTTGTGCTTTATGAGCAGGGGGGAAAAAGACGCTTAAAAAAAAGGGAAATGAAGGAAATAGTGAGGCTATTTGTAATGGGCTGTAGCAGTGCCTGAGGGGAAGCGCCCTGCACTGAGCATCCCAGTCCTTCCTCCTCCATCGTCACCAACAAAATTACCCGTAGCAGATGTTACTTGGCAGGAGCGGCAACGCTCCTGCTCTCAACACATCTTACAAGGTCATAAAGCAGAGAAATTATCAAACAGTAATTTCAGTGAGATGCAGATAATCACATGGCTCAACTGCACTTGATTGTGTTTTCA